TGCAGGAAATCCGGATGGAGCCGTTAGGAGCACAGTCCTTGTTGCTTAGATCTCGTAATGTAAAGTAGAAAAGTGAAGGGCATTGAAGCAGAATCAAGCTTCCCAGTACTGCAGATAATATACGTATGTCAAAGAAGGAGGCAGCTTGGGAGGTTGTATCTTCAGGAGTTGTTTGAATGAGACTGAGGAAGCTCTGATCACTGGGGTTTCCATCAATTAGCAGAGGCCAAAGGGTGAAGTCCTGCTGATTTGCTGTGCTGGCAGAAAACTTCAAAATGCACGCCAGGAACGGTTGATGAGTTAATAACCTAATTAGAAGCCTTTGGTCTGTCCCAGTTATTATATAGTGACACTTACTCAAGAGGGCATAGGTTAAATCTGAGGTTTTTTTTACCGTATTACATGGCATAATAATGACTTGATGTTATTCATTGGTTTTAAATAGTTTACAATTTGATGGGGTTTAGAGTTAGTTTCAGATCCTCTATAGTGGCTAACAAATCTAACAGCTTTCCTGATCATTACATTTGAAGAAGTGAGTTGTAGCTCATGAAACCTTAAGTGTTCTTATTTATATACATATGCATATACATTGTATGTATGTATGTATGTATGTATGTATGTATGTATGTATGTATGTATGTATTTACCGTGTTTCCCCGAAAATACGACCTGTCCCGAAACTAATGCCTTGCCACATTTTTTGCATGGGCAAAAATATAAGCCAACCCCTGAAAATAAACCCCCTGGACAACACCCCCCTCCGGCCAGGCAGAGTACCGCTCACCAACCTAGCGGTATCCAGAAGGCGCCCAACAATGTGAGCGCCTTTCCCCCGGCTCCCATGGCTTGGCGCCTTTGGGATACCACTAGGTTGGTGAGCGGTGCTCTGCCTAGCCAGAGGGGAGAGTTGCCAAGCGGCTGCTCCCTTGCGAGCGGGCTCCCAAAGAGCCGGGAACAGCCTCAGGGGGAAGCAGTCATGAGGTAACCACGCTCACGAGCAGCCGCCTGGCAAATCCCCTCTCCAGCCGGGCAGAGCGCCATTCACTGACCTCACTAAGGCACCAAGTCACGTGGCGCTCTGCCTGCCCCCCAGCTCCCGCGGCTTGGCACATTCGGGATACCCCCTAGGTCAGTGCATTGAGCTCTGCCCGGCTGAAGAGGGGGGGTTGCACAAGCACCTGTTCCGCCCCCAGCCTCATCAAGCCCTTNTGTTATATGTCATTGTATGTATCCCCTCCCATATAAGTTGTTAGCCGCCCTGAGTCCCCTCAGGGAAAAGGGCGGCCTACAAATAAACTTATTCTATTCTATTCTATTCTATTCTATTCTATTCTATTCTGTACTGATAATGGTTTGAGCTGAAGTGATGTTGATTTGAGGATCGAAAAATTGATCTCTGAATCTAAAACTCCCCTTTCTTACACCAAGGTATTTAAAAATGCTAAAAAGCAAATGCAAAAGTTATTTAAAATCCTGTCCTTTTCTTTTCTCAACAACTCATTCTCAACAAATTAGGGGAAGTTTTGAACTGGGATAAAGTAGTTTAGAACCACCTATCCTGCCTCTAGTGAATAAAAATCTATCCTTCTGCATTGTTCCATTCATCACAGGTTTGGATTTTACCCCAAACTGGAATAAGATTCATCTTAGCCTCAATGTATAGAAGGAAGCAACAAAGAGTTTTAAATCTTAAAAGTCATTTGTGTTCAAACCTATTCCATAAGCAAAAGATCTAGGATAGGTGGAAATAAAAGCAGCCAGCTAGACAAAACTTGATATCACTTTAGATGGTGCATTAAGATAAAGGAAAATAAAAGTAAAATTTATAAAAGTTAAAGTAAACTACTATGCTTACTGCAGCTTTCTTATGGTGATTGGAAATTTGGAAATTGTTTAACACTTGTGAGAGATCCCAGATTGACAAAATGTGACATTTACAAAAATAAATTTAAAGATTCCATCATGTTGAACTCAACTCTTGCTGAATTCATTTGTGTAGTTTTTTTGGTCAGTTCTGTTTGTTATCAATTTCTTTTTTAAGTTTCTTGACTTTCCAATCTACCTACCAACGTTTGATAAAAAATAATGTTTTGCCTGTAATACTGTACATAATTAACAGAATATCAGAATATTAGAGTTGGAAGGACATTGGAGGTACTTTTCCTCTGAATAATTTTGATGTTGCTCATTATCACAGAAGAAATAAAGCAAAACAAAACAAAACAACCAATGACATGAGCAGGGTCCTGGTAGATCAAATTCTTGACTACCTAATCCAGCAATCTATTCTCACACAGTGGCCAACAACTGCACAAGGAAGCCACTAGTCTCCCAGCGGAAGCCTTGGAGGTAGTTACACTGCTATCAAAAAAAATTATTGATCCCCATGATTTCCATGACTTGGTCTAACCCCTTTTTTTAAAGCCACCCAAACAGTCAGCACCAGGTTCCATAGGAGTATCCAAAGGCAAATTACATGTGTTTTTTTCTTCCTTTTGTCTATCCTGATTCTTTCAGGATTCAATTTCATTCAATGGCCTCTGGCCAATATTTTGGAAAGGTGAAAATCATTTCTTCTTGTCTATTTTATCCATACCATATGTAATTTTGTAAAGCTTAATCATGTCCCTTTTCATTTGCCTCTAGACTAAAAAGCTCCAAATGTCTCAATCTTTCTCCATGGGGAAGCTGCTACAGCCACTTAATCATTTAGTCATCCTCCTCTGAACTTTTTCTAGCTCCATCACATCCTTTTTGAAGTGCAGAGACCAGAACTGCACACAATATTCCAGATATCCCATTTATGTAAAGCCACTATGATATTGACATCTCCATTTTCACTCCTTTTTTCTTATTACCTTAAATGTGCTATTGGCTTTTTTTAACAGCAGATACACACTCATTGATACCACTGCTTACCATTATTCCTAGAGCTCTTTCCTCATGGGTCACTGCTGGTTCAGATGCCATCCAAATGATGCTGGCCATTATAAAATTTTTAAACACCTTTTGGCCACTAAAAATCAGTTCATTTCAATCACAGATTGAAATGAACTAATTTAATAAACACGTTTTTCAACATTCATCTTTGTTATTTTCAAATTGATGGGATACTCATAGTATCTGAGAAAAGTGTGTATTGTGTAGCTGTAGTAGATAAGCTTCCAAGTCCAGGTCTTCTGAAAACTCTTCTAACACTGAATAAGACTTGGAATAACACTGAATGCATTGACCTACATTAGAAATGCTTCTCAAGCCTGTTGAAAGTTACTTCCGTCTCCAACTCTCACCCTAAGGATTCTGAGCCACCAGGTGGCAGTAGAGGAACAAGACTGACTAAACTTCTGCACTTTGGGGCTTAAGATACTAGTTGTGATTAAGGTTAACTGACGCTCCAATAAAGAACATTTACAAGATCCCAGGGGCATTGATGAAATTGTTTAATTCTATGCAAGTAATATGTACAATCTCTAGTAATTTCATAGGAATTAAATTTATTTATTTTTGTTTGCATTCTGCATAAAGGTTGCAAGAGCAAATCTGATATCACAGAGGAAGTGAATCAAGTGTACCTTTAAATTACAATCTAGAGCCTTATTGAATTCCAATGATATTTTTAAAATTAGCTTCACTCTTTAACTGAAATAACTGTGGACAAACTGCAATTTAAAGCAAGGAGAATATCATATTTTTCTGTTCTTTATTCTTAATGCAAATGTACTTTTTCAATATAATTAGGATAAATTTTCTCTAATGCAGTGTCACCTTTGATTCCTATGCTTGATGGCTCTACTATATAGCAACAGCAGAAAAGTTTTTTTTAAAACTTAGGCTTCCCAGAAAGACAAATCTGAAAAATCTAGTCTAGCTGTGCAGATCCTAAATATGTTTAACACTGCTTTCTGCCATAATTTCTGCCATGGCTGAAATTAAAGCATTACTTGTTTCCCCCCTCTTCATTACGTTCAGTAATGATACCATAAAAACCCTCACACCATAATTCTGGAACAAGATAAGGTTTCCTTCAAGCCTTGGTGCTTTTGTTACTTCTGGATTTTTTATGATTATTTGAGATATCCTAGTAAGGAGGTTCTGCAAATGCATAGATTTTTCATATTTTTGCCATGAGTTAACGTGACCGAACATTGTAAAGATAGTAAAAATATTGACATTATGGAAATCCTGAAGAATAAGACACACAAGCTTGATGTTCAAATTTTTATTTTTGATCAAAATTCTATTTCTTCTTGCATAGTAAGGAGAGATTTGGTGTAGCATATTTCTGAATATTGCTTTGGTGATATTAAAACCAGTTCGTTTACATTCTGGATCTTTGATACTGTGGCATGTTTATAATAAATAAACTATACATCCTACCTTTTCAGATAATACTTCCAGTGAATATTTACTTGGGAAGATGTATGGGTCAAATTACCTACTAAATTAGAAATGGCAGTTTTTTTCTCTCTGAAGCAGGACTATTGAGGGCATGACATTTTCAAACTTCAGAGCCAAAGGTTCCTAGACCTATACTACGTTGTGGAAAATGGGAACAAATACCTTTTTATTGAACATTATGTTCCAGATGTCATATTGCCCTTTCATAGAAGATTTAAACAGGCTTTTACAAACAACTTGCATAGAACTTTTTATGGCGGCAAGAGATAACATAGAGAAATATAGTGTTTGCATTCAATGTGTGTACAGGGTAGCCCTCAACTTATTACCATAGTTGAGACACAAATGTTGCTGGGCAAGATAGTTGTTAAGTTAATTTTGCTCCATTTTACGACCTTTCTTGCCACAGCAAGAAAGTGAATCACTGCAGTTAAGTTAGTAACATGGTTGTTAAGTGAATCAGACTTCCCCCTTGATTTTATCAGGTCACAAAAGGTGATCACATGATCCCAGGGCACTCTAATCGTCATAAATATAAATCAGTTGCGACGTGTCTGACCTTGGGGATGCTGCAATGGTCATAAGTGTGAAAAACAGTCATAAGTCACTTTTTCAGTATTGTTGCAACTTTGAATGGTCACTAAATGAACTTTTGTAAGACTACCTGTACTGTGTGCGTGTTTGGGGGAGGAGTTTAATAATAATTCCTGTAAGCTCCACTCTCATCCATAGCAATTGAAGGTTGTCTGTGCAAAAAAAATAAACCCTCGCCCTTCTCCAATTCAAATCTTTAAGAGACCATTGAGACTTTGCTGAATGTCTTCTGCCTAGCACTGGGCCTTAAACCAATGTTGAGTCATGCAGGATTTTTTAATTTGGTTGGCTTTTTATTTTAGGTATTTGTAAACAATTTTCCAAAGCTCAAAAAAAAAAACCCTGCCATTCTGTCATTAAAATGTAATTATGGAAACAGAAACAGCTAATAAATATATTTGGTGTAAGGTTTTGGAGAAAAGTACAGCAATGGCAATTTATATTTCTGCAAGCTGTGTGACCCATAGATCACCGTTCTTGGTTCATTCTGATGCCAGTTGCTAAATCAAGTGATAATACACCATAGGGAGCCTGAACTGAACCTGGAAATGAGTGACTTTATCATAAATATCTCATAGCATTCATATGAATATCATACAGCTCTATGGATAGGAAATGGAAAATAAATTTTAAAATCAAGATCAGAAATTGTTCTTGAAATATGAAATGGTCTTACAGTACAGTATATGGCTTTATAGTATTTAAGTGCATCAAGTCTTCTTCATATTTTGTCCAAATGTTTCTGGCAGCCACTTTCTGTAATGCTACTTCATTCCAAAAGCTTGATAGTTTGATAGTTCTCTCATCTCTATATTTCAGAGTCTTCAATGGAGCTTCTCAAGAATATCTTAGGGGAAGCAAAGGGAGCAATTGAATTCTGAACTGGATATTGTTTACTATCCTGCTTAATATTTGCTGCCTTGTAGGAGGCAGCTTTTTTGTTTTTTCTTGTTCGAGTCTGAAGGGTTCCCATCTCAAAATCCCAAGCCTGCCCTCTTCTTATTCTCTTCAAAGTATTTTTGAAGCCTTCTGTATTGAAATAATAGATCAAGGGATCCAGGGTACAGTTCATACTTGCAAGTAGCATAGCGATGATAAGGGCATTGCGCACTGAAGCCTGTGTGGTTGAATCAGTAATAATCACTTTGGCTTTTATCAGCCCATAAGCTGCTAGGATGGTGTTGTAGGGTACGAAGCAGATGATAAAGATGACCAGATTGACTACAAGCATGCGAATGGTCTTTTCTTGGCGCAGGCTCCGCGACCCATGAGTCTGGCATAGATTCTGAAAAATTCGGATTGAGCAGGCTGTCACAGAGGTCAGAGGGAGGAGAAAGCCAAGAATCTCTGCTAAAATGACCAGACCAAAGATTTTTCCCTGCCACAAATCCTTACTGAAGTTTTCAAAGCACACGGTTTCATTTTTTTTAAGGTTAGAATTTGTCCCACTTTTCTTAATACATGAAGTTCCCTTGTGGATTATAGCAACTGGAACAGAGCCTATCAGGATTAGTACCCAAACCACACAGCAGAGCAGCCTGGCTACTTTGGGACGCCGGAGGTGGCGCCAGCGTAGCGGGTGGACAATAGCAACAAAGCGGTCCAAGTTGATGCACATCAGGAAAATGCAACTACCGTACATATTTATTTGGAAAAGTGAACCCGAGACTTGACAAAGGAAACTTCCAAAGGGCCATTTCCCCATGTAATAGTAATATATACGGAAGGGCAAAGATATGGTGAAAAGGAGGTCACTCGTAATCAAGTTACACATGTAGATGGCCACCACTGACTTGAGCTTCAGATAGTACAAGAAGATCAAGAGGGACGCAACATTGAGACATAAGCCTGCTATGAAGATCAAGCTGTATCCAATCAACTGCAATTGGTGAATGTCATCAGGACATTCAGTAACATTGGTAGTTGACATGCCTGGAAATCACTTGAAAGGAAGACTTTGATAGGTCTGGTTAAGATTCTGGCAGAAGCAGAGATTACAAGAGACCAAAAAAGGGCCTAGAATTGAAGTTAGTGCTCATCCTTCTATTCCTTAATTCAAATGGTGGTCCCAACTCTTTGACTTGAACTTTCAGGCTTCACAATCCATCTGAGTCCAGGAGGTTTAGGGCCATTCTCAGTCACAGAACGATGAGTCTAGAGAAAAAATGAGAAAAAGTGCTTTATTATAGCATTCTGAAAAAGCAAAAGCATTAAATCTCCAAAGAATGAAATGGCCCCTAAATTAGAGTCAGTTTGGTGTAGTGGCTAAGGCACCAATCTAGAAACTTCCACTCTTCCTTAGGCACAAAGCTAGATGGGTGACCTTGGATCAGTTATTCTTTTTCAACCCTAGGAAACAGGCAGTGGAAATCTTACCAAGAAAACTTCAGGCAGTCACAGGGAGTCAACAATGTCTTGAAGGCATCAAAAAAACAAACCACCTTAAATTTTAAAAATAAATTGTGGGCAAAACTAAAAATTATGGAAAGTGAAATCAAAAGTAGATTGTATGTATGTATGTATGTATGTATGTATGTATGTATGTNATGACTATCATTAAGTGTTGTACCTTATGATTGTTGACGAATGTATCTTGTCTGTTTATGTACACTGAAAGCACATGCACCAAAGACAAATTCCTTGTGTGTCCAATAACACTTGGCCAATAAAGAATTCTATTCTATTCTACCATAATGCCTAATAATCGAGGAAAGAGCAGAAGATTAATATAATATATTCCATATATTTATTCAACTTGATCATTGTGATGATGGGGAAAAGTATCAGGGCAAAAACTTAATAATGCAACTAATGAATTGACGTTTACTTCAATTTGGGATTTTTCAAATGTTGGCTTGCTGAATTTGCAGCGAGTTAATCCCACTCACCAGTTTTTAAAATTTAGCTATAATTATTATATTCAGCAACATGCTACACTTTTATCTTGAATTTTATTTTTTCGATAAAGTTTATGTAGTTCTGCATTTGACCTACTTAGCAATACTTGAGTCAATGAACTCTGCAAATAGGAAGGGTAACATAAGAGACTCTTGACTTTTATCTCACATAACCAAGAACAAATGTGATAAGCAATTATTCACATAAATGTCTCCCAGCGGCTTCTTACATAATAATGCAATCTATTATTTTAATGTTTCTTTCAATTTATGAGCCCTCAAATTATTTAAAATTTATTTACATGCCTCAGAAATACTTTGAGCTCTGCAAACAGCAAAGCCATATTAAAATATATTTGTAAACCAACTTTCATAATTAAATTTGGTGAGTTCTACTTGTTCTCATTATTTATTTATTTACTTGGCTGATTTACACATTGCCTTGACAAAATATGTGATGCACTGAAAATAGTTAAAACATTGTAAAAAGAACTTGGAAATAAACAGGAAACAAGATATAAAATAAGCTCTCCCCCAAAGTTCACAGAATAGGACTGTTGTCATTTGCTTCTGGAAAGGCAGACTCCAACTTCCTATGAGATTTCCGCAATTCCAGAGTGACTACATAATAAGCATTATTTTATCGATGACAATCCACATCCATTAGACAAGAAACTGTCCTAATGTAATGCCAGATAGTAACTGTGTATTTAATTATTAACATTGCAATCTTATATTTTTACTATAACTTCCACTGAGATCAGGGGACTTTCTACCAAATCAGCGAGAATATCAAATTGATGAAGATTATTATTTCTTTCTCTGCAGGGTACTTCTGTCAAATTAAATTAGATGGGTGGTTGCAAGGAAGGAGGCCTTCCCAGTGTGCCAGACAGCTTACGAAATCCCACCCCCCAGAGGAGGGAATCAAAACCTGATGCCAGCATTGTTATTTTATCAGGTAAATATTTCTCTAAAATAAATGTTTAATTTAAAGTTATAATATGACCAGCAAGCAACTGGAACAGAACCTTTTATATATATTTACAAGTTGTCCTTCCTGTTTTATTAATGTCTGCATGTAGATGTGTGAATACACATACACACACATTTATACACACGTGTAAGTCTCATCAACATTTGGGGAAATGAACAAAGAATTATTTTTTGTACCTGTTCTTTAGCCTTAAAACGTGAAACTCTTTCTCCCACAATATTTCCTGATAATTTGTTTTTAATGTTAACTGATGGTAGTATATTTTTACTTCATCATTAATAATCCATTTATGTCCAAATGCTAAACTTGCTCTAAGGTATAGATATGGAGTAAGACATAAAATAAAATAAATTTCACATCTGACCTTACTAATGATTTGAGAAATGCTTTTTTGAAAATATTAACATTGTTAAAATGTTGAAGATTAAGCTAATTTACAGTGATGAAATATGAAAGTTTCAGCCATTACAAACATACAATTTAAAGTGTATGTCAATTTATAAAAATGATTGCAATAAACACATTTGCAAATGCTGTCTGATTTAAGTACTTAACACTCAGTGGAAAGCAATGATTGCTTTTGGCTGAATAAACTAGGCTGACCAGCTTAAATGTGTCACTGGTTAATATGAGAAAAGCTCCTTGGTATAGCAACTCAAAATGCATTTTAAACTTCTCAATACTGCACTGATTATTTCTCTAGCTTCCCCCTGCATAATAAAAATCTGAAAACTCAAATCATCTAACTCTCAAGAGGAAGAAATGTCAGCAGAAAGGCACTGTGCTACTAACAATATATATACAAGCTGTAGAAAAAAAAAATCCCTGGAATTTAAGAGAATCTGAAAGAGCCTCATAAACAAAGAGAAGTAAGCAATGAAAAATATGATACAAATGCAATCGCAGTAGCGTTCTTTCAAATATTTACCCTGCTTCTAGTTGAAGAATAATTTGTTGTATTTAGCCAGAGTCAGACTCTAAGGATTGCAGTAATCCACAGGGATTAATTAGTCTAGGAGTTTTTTGAATACAACTTTCAAAAGCACAGGATCAAAACGGAAGAAGAAAAAGAATATGCATATATTTTACTGATGATTGTTAAATAATCATTAAACATTAAATATTATCATTATTGAATCATGGAGAGCATCACATAGATTAGAGCAAAATAAGCACCCCAAATCTATCCAACAAATTTGTGATGAGGACAGTATGGCAAAATGCAGTATTTCTCAGTGAATTTTACCTTCCCCAAGTTTTATACCACCATATATTTTAGGTTAGGTTAGGTTTATTCAAATTATATTTATATTTTGGACATGCTACTGGCCGGGTTAGCTGTTAAATCGAGAAATGGTTCTCTCAAAACATTTAGAAGCATCAAGTTGGGCCTGCTATGGTAAATATCCAAAATATATATTCTAAACCTAGGTAATTTATCCATACAATCTGGAACTCCAATTTTAATGCTCAGACATATTCTGCCAATTCAAAATTTTCATATTATAATAAACTCAGTTTAACAAATTAAGAAGGAGTAGTTTTCCAATGCTGCCTAATGTTCATTTTATAGCAAAGAGGATTTTTTGCGTCCCAAAATATATTTAAATATGAAAAAAATACTTTATCGATAACAGTGAATATCGATTATGAGGGGGAGCAGTGAATGTTTTAAATATACTACTTTGAGACATTTGGACAAACCCATTTTTGTCCAAAAACAAATTTGTCCATTAAATATGAAACTCACTAAACTCAAGTCTACTAAATTAAAAGATTACTGTAATAATATCAGATTTTTAAAAGCTTTGACGTAATTAAATCTACTATGTGAGTTATGTACTCAGAGAAATAGAGCTGTTGATACAAAGTGCAATTCAGTGCCTAGAAAATAGCTGAGAATAAACCAACAACAAAGGTAAAGTTAATTACACATGTCTTTCCTACTCAGTGCTTCTGGAATGGAGGATGCCATTCAGGTGAAACAGACATAAACCTTTCCTTGTGGATGACTAGTCCACAAGGCATACTTCAGTATTCTGGCATACTCCAGCAACAAAAATCTCACCTAGTTTACTATTTGAGTATAATGAATGTTAAATGGAAATTGACCACCATAAAAATACAATTTTAAGGAACTTGGTCAAATCCAGATATTAGTTCTATTAAACATTCAATCCTTATGCACTGCCCTGTCCCCTCCATCATTTTGTACTAGTTATCATGCTAATAAAGATAGTTTAAAGGACTGGAACCTGCTTTTAGCCATATATAGTAGTTCTAAATATAAATAATATTCTCAATCCAGATTGACTCTTCCATGGAATCCGAGCTCTATTATTTCCTTCACATAAGGCAAACTGAACACCAAACAAGGTGCAGTTTAGGCAACCATAGTCAAACTTTAATCCTAATAGAACTACCCAGCTAACTGCTCAATAGTTTCAATAGCTTTAAATACAATTACCAGCAATCTTCCTTTAGCCTCACTTAGCAACCATTCGCAGGTACAATGGTGCTGAAGAAGAAACTTTATGATCCAGTGACATGCGGTGAGGTTTATGGCTGGTGAGGCAAAAAGAAAGAAAGCAGCTGTTGGGCGCCCCGCCGCTATGTCCGACATAGAGGTGGGACGCCTCTATGTCGGACATAGCGGTGGGGTGGCCAAAAGCCTCTTTCTTTCTTTTGCAGCAAAAGAAAGCGCCAGCCCGCCAGCAGAGGTGGGTAAAAGACCCGCCTCTGCTGGCAGGCTGCCCTCCCTGCCTCTCCACCCCCTTCCCTCTTGAGTGAAGAAACAAACATATGCACACACACAAAAATTTCTTACAATTACTTACAAATTACATTAATTTTGAATTCCTTCCCCTCCCTCTGACCCACATATCTTTTCCAGCTGTTTCACAATCACAGAGGATTTCAACTCTGCTCTTGCCTGCCATCATGAAAATGTAAAAATATAAAAGGAAAAAGGCAAGAGCTGCTGAGGTCAGGCTGGGTTAGCTGCTGACAGAATCCCCAATGGATGACTCTGCTTAACTGTTTAAAAAAACCTCTAAAAAAACACCCTCTACAGGAGGAGGAAAGAGAACTATGTGCCTCATCTACATAAGGAATTTTTCGGCTTTTAACCCTTGCTTAACTCTGCTTGAGTGATCATAAAGTCAGACTAAATGAGGCACGTGGTTCTCCCGCCTCCTACTGTAGAGGACACTTTTTAAGAGGCTTTTTTAAACAGTTAAGCACTAAGAGAGTCATCCACTGTGACTCTGGCACCAACTACGTCAGCCTTTTTCCTTTTACATTTTTTTTTTCTTTTCATGATAACAGTGGTGAGGCTCTGCCTCCCCTGCCTCCCCTGCCTGCACGTCATTGTTATGATCAATCCTTGCATTTACAACCTTTACAAGTCTATACAGCAAAGGAAATCTCAAGTAAGATCATAAGCAAAGGGATGGTTTCACTTAGTGACCGCTTATCAATTAAGCTGCCAGTCCGAAATTGGCTAAACAAGGACTACCTATAATGTATCCTTGAATCAATCCATGGCCAAAAACCATTTCACCACTTTAAACAGCTGGTGAAATTCTATCTGTGCTTTTAGATCTTTTTTTTTTTAAACCATAACTAACACTAAACATGAACAGGTCATCCTCGACTTACAACAGTTCCTTTAGTGACCATTTGAAGTTACATCATCACTGGGAAAAAGTGATTTATGACCATTTTTCACACTTATGTCCATTGCAGCATCCCCATGGTCACATGATCAAAATTCAGACAACTGGAAACCAACTCATATTTATGAAGGTTGCAGTGTCCCGGGATCATATGATCAGCTTTTGTGACCTTCTGACAAGCAACGTCAATGGATAAACCAGATTCACTTAACAATCATATTACTAACTTAACCACTACAATGATTAACTTAACAACTGTGGCAAAAAGGTCGTAAAATGGAGGCAAGACTCACGTAACAAAATGTCTCACTTAGCAACATAAATTTCAGGCTCAATCATGGTCACAAGTCGAGGAATATCTGTATAAAGTTTTGCAAAAAAGAAAACAAAATAAAGACTTGTGAATTAAAATGCAGTTACCTACAGATACTTACATGGGGATGGCTCATGTATTCCTTCCTCAGAACTATCCTCAGGACCCTCTTCACCTATTCCAGAGGTGACTGAATCTTCTTGAGCAGAAGCAGAACTTGGTGTACTTGGTGCACTCACAGATCCAGAATCACCATCCTCACTATTGGAACCATATCTATCATGCTGAACTACTGAACCGCCTTCACTGAAGCTTCGGCGTTCTTTCCTGTGGACTCGGGAATGAAGGACCATTTGGTGATATGTGCGGAAGATCTTGCCACACTCAAAGCACTCGGTGGACTTGTTCTGTGATGCCCTTCTGCTTTGACGGGAGGATGGTCTGTATTCTAGGTCATCTTGACCAAGGATGCAGTTGTCCCCTGCTTGTGCATTATTGCTTTTCTCTGAACGGCCACCTGTGCAGTTCTTCTTCTTTGGATTACTGGAAGAGTTGGATGAATCTTGGTCTTGCTTGCGTTTCTCTTGACTAACAAGAATATATTCCCTTTTATCCCTGTCATACGTGACATCAGCATCTGCCAAAACTTCATCCCATCCTAAATACTTAACATACTCAGAAGGCTCTGCAACTTTCCCTTTGGTAGCCAAGTGCCAAGCTTGGTAACTGTTGACTGGATCCAGCTCAGCTACTCTTTTACCTGACTGGCCCCTTGAAACACCTTCTATCCATACAGACGGCCTCAAGTTCAGATATTGGAAGAAAAACTGTTTTGCTATAGATGAATCCAAATCTCCATCTATTAGTCTCTCTCCTCTGGGATCACTGCAAATTCCTTGAGACTTACAATGTACAGAATTATGTGCTTTTAGGCTCTCCATATTTGTAAACAGGTTTCCACACTTGGTACAAACTTCATAGAGGGATAATCCAGTCACAATTGTCTCTTCTTGAATGACATCATTGATAGTGGCAATGGGCTCTAAATCACTTTTTGGCTTATTTTTACTCCCAGATTTTGGGCCATGAGATTTCATGTGGTTTTTAAGGAACCAGGGCTCTTTAAATTTCCGGCCACAAATGTGACACCCGTGGTCAAATGTCCCTCGATGCTTCTTCATATGAGCTTTGAGGAACCATGTTTGACTAAAGGCTTGTCCACAGACTTCACAAGGGAATTCTCCAGCACTGGACTCAGGCTTACAAGTCTCAGGGTAGGCTTCCCCATTTGGAATTTGAGTTGTAATATGATCTCTTTCTATGTGGTTTAAAAGGGTCTCCTGTCTTAGGGTCATGTAATTACACAGCCTACATTTGAAAGGCTTGTGGACTTGATGTATGTGTTGCTCCAACTCTTTCTTCCCTTCAAATTTGCTTTTACAGAAGTTGCACTGAACAGTACATAATTTAACATCATCGGCCAATGCCTCTTTTCTGCTGCTTCTGAGCAAGATCTTGCTATCCTCTGAGGGAACTGTTCCATTCAATATTTTGTTGCAAGCAGAGGTGCTTTTGGTAGGGCTGGTGCAACCATCAAAGCCTTCGAAGACCTTCATCTCATTAAGTGGGGCCTCTCCCACCGTCTCCACGTCATTCCTCTGGCTTATTGTGCCTGTTCTATGACCCCGGATATGGATCTTTAAGTTGCCCTTTTGGGAAGCTCTGTGATCACAGTAAGGGCACTTATAGGGCTTCTCCCCTGTGTGCTTCCTCATGTGTTGTGAGAGTGAGCTCTGGAAGGGAAAACTCTTGCCACAAATGCAGCAGCTGTGCAACATGGATTTGTCTGCATCCACATCATTCTTATTCATCCTGTGAGGACTGGAGGCTCTTCGTAATTCCATGTTTGCACCTACACTACAATCCATCTGTATTCCAACAACATCAGTCAACAGGTAAAAGCCCTGCCCAGGAGTGGAAAATTATGTTGAAATTTCTATTGGGGATGTTTCTTACCAAGCCTCTATCTCTTCATTCCTATATTCAAATTGCTTCTCAGCTTGAGAGCATTCTGGATATAAGCGTTCATTGATGTTTCTGAATCAAATGGCAAACAAAACCTGCAACCAAAACAAAAGCACAACACCTCATTACTAAATGCAAAAGCATTTCATTTGAAGCACATTCACAACATTCTTCTTTGTTACTCCCCTTGTGACAGGCCTCTGTTAAGGTTTTCTTTTCATCTAAATCAAACTCTTGGTACACACAAATGTATCAAATTTTAACTTGGATGATATTATAATTCAGAAAAACCAGTAGGATATTTCATAAGCTCAGTAAGATAACATAAACAAACTTACGAAATAGTAGGTTCAGTTACTGGGATACAGAGTATGCATGTAATTGGTATGTGCTAAAAATAAGAACATCAATCTCACAAACAGTTAAATTTGTCTTTCCAAAAGAAAAAAATAGTGTGCATGTGGCTTCAACTTAATAAGCCCTTTTTTGAAGTAACTGTAATATTTTAAGTCTGTGGTTTTATACACATGTATAATTTCATGAAAAACAGCCAAAATTTTGTTTGTCTAGAGATAAAGGATTTCTGTAGGACCCAGTAAGCTAACCTTGTTAAAAAAACATTTTCTTAAACATGCAGACATACAGAAAAGGATGCATCTTATTTTAGTTAAATAAAATTCCTATAAACAAGCCCATTAAATGAACAACTACGGCTATTTTTTTTTCTTAGTTGATTGCTAATATCCTTTTTAATACAAATAAAGTTATAGGAATGCGTTCACAATTTTGCTACATTAAAATCTGTAGAAAACTTCATTTTAGAGGAGGAACATCTGGTATTTTCTGTAGTACCGATTCAAAATTAGATGCTGTTTTTTTCTGCCCTGCAAATAAATGATCGATACATGCATATACAATCTCTTTTATATACTGAAGAACCTTTCTACTTGTTTATTACAAGTGCTTCACGTTTAATGGAAAAATACTTTCTTTCTTTTTTTAATCTACCCTGCTTTTTAAGAAAAAAATAATCCTGTCTCCCTGTTGGTGAAGATGCATCTAATTTACAAAGTATGGATCCACGGGTAACCTTTGTATACCTAATACTTCAAAATGAGGATTCACATTTCTGCTTCAAGGTATCTATATTTCTGCCCCACCTAATTTTAATTCTCCTCCCAGAAAGTATGTGCCACAGATATATTTTATGTAAAACATCTCCCCAAAGCGATTATTCCTGAAGTATATTAACCAATTTATATGAACAGCATGGTAGATTTTAAGACCAGGGATAGATCCAGTTCTGTTAATCAGTAATGGAAATGTGTTCTGTTCTGGTCTGTTGCCATAATTCAAATCAAAGCTTTATTTAGGGCTTTCAGGTCAGAGATCAGAACAATGAAACATATAATTATGTAATTATTATTTTAAAAACATATAAAATACAATACCCTGTCTTCCTGAAAATAAGGCCTTCCCAGATAATAAGCCTAATTGGGCTTTTGAACACATCCGCCTAAAATAAGCCCTCCCCGAAAATATTGCAACGCAGCAGCAGCCATGAGGTGACCACGCTTGCCACCTCCTGCACCTCAAAAATAATAAGACCTCCCCAAAAATAAGGCCAAGGGTTTATTTCGGAGGATCAAAAGAAAATAAGACCCGGTCTTATTTTCGGGGAAACACAGTAAACGTATACAAAATACATTATTATAGCAACTATAATACAATTAGCAATGGCAATCATGAAAATTCTTGCTACACTTCAACTGCAGGTAGTAGGGATAAAACAAATGGTAGCAAAAAATATCCTTGGAAAGATGTCAGAAGCCTGATGAGACAAAAGCATGGTCAGCTAAACACTGTGCTGTCCACCGGGGCAATTCTTTAAAATGGGAGAGATATGTATCTTCCTTGATTCCCAGTAGAAAGCAACAAAGGAACATATGGCTTGTTCCATAGGGACATCTCCACATGTACATAAGCACTGCTGAAAAAGGATGTTTTTTATATTACTACCCTTGCAGAGGGTAGTGTATCCAACCTAACCAAGAGAATTTCAGAATTAGAATTAAAGAGAGTTAAGATAAGGGCATATGGCCATTTGAAAAGAATTCATAATTTGTAAAGTTGGATACTAGGCTTAAACTGGTTGGAAACTCAGTATCCCAGTTACATTGCTTAAGATGATTCCTGGCATCTTCAAACCCTAATGGGCAGAGGCTTTCCAAAGGGAGACTAAGGACTTGAGTTTGGGTTGTGTTTTGCTAACCAGGTTGAACCAGACCCATGGGGCGGGGTAACTGATTTCAATCAGAAATTAGGACTATTGCTTATCAGCCATTGGACAAACAGCAAGTGTAAGGTGGCCCTAATAATAAATATTTCATTTGATTTAGCAACAGAGAATGCTATCTGCAAGTATACGTAGACTAAATTGATAATAATATACTCTTGTTGATATTAGTGTGCTATCATGGTGTTTTGTCCTTCACAGCTCAATTCCATGCCATAAAAGGGCCATGAGCAATGAATCATCTATATCTATTATCACCGTGACAAATTCTATCTTACCTTCATATAACCAGCTCATAATGCATACCAATGGTTTGTGTTAGTACAGGAATTCTCTTAAGATCTAGCCAGAATAGAAAATGAAATGAAAAGAAGATGAACCTTTCTGGTTGAGAATTTTTAAAGTTGCCTCCACATTTCAACGTTCCCAGGTTAGAGGCAACAGTTAAATCATACTTTTATTTTAGACCAGTAATTATTATATCTATTCCACTTCATGTGCTGTAATGTTATATATAAAATCTCTTAAGAAAATAAGCTTTCACTTCTTTAACAGCAGTTTATTTTGTAATTAAAACTCTTCAGAAAAGAAGTGATGCCAAGAGGTTTGTACAAGGAAACATGTTTTTTTAAAAAAAATATTCAGCTCCTATCCTTTAAACACAACTGTTCTGTAACAGCAGAGCATTTAGGAGACAATAGGGTAGCAAGATGAACCAGAGAGGGGGAAACAGTCTGTCTTTAAATAGTAAGGACATCCTTGACTTTTACAGGAAATACCAGCAGGATATGTCCTTCAGAGTGAACATAGGCATTGGGGAAGTTAGCAGGATTTTGCCTTGATTTTATTCCCTCAAAAGCCATAGAAGATGATAAAATTTTGCCAAGCCTTAAAAAAAAAAAAAAAATCTGCAGGTGAAAAAAACACTTGCTCAATAATATTCTGCACCATTTCAGGATCAGCCCCAGAAGTGCCTGATCTCAGAATTCAGGGTGAGCTGAGTCCATTTATTTCTGACTCTGCATTTTCATTTGAATTGATGCAGTTTTGCAAATCTTATTAGGTGGCCTATTTTTCAAGGGCTGGGAACTTTGGTCTCATCCTGTCTCCAGGATCCTAGTCTCCAGAAATGCTTAAAGCGGCAGTTTGCTTTATTCTGTGCAAAGAGATGTCTGCTATGTTTTTGTCTGTGTGTGTGTGTGTTCTGGAAGGCATTATTTTCAGATCTGCAACTGTTAACACTGCAGATTTACCCTGAGATTCTTTGCCCACATCATTTGCTTTCTCTCCCTCCCTTTCCTGAGTTAATGATGGTATTAAAAACGGGCTCCAAAATTCCTGAGAAAATAATTAGGCGCTTCTGAAACAGCACTACCAATAATAACCTTCATGGACAGACACACCTATAAGGATATATTAAGCAAATACAGATCTCGCCAGTGAGAAATAGAGAAGATTCACAGGATAGAAAACAAGGGAAAGCATGGAGCAGAAATGTGAACCCTTTTTTAAAAGGAATTTTACTAAAAGGTTCATTCTTGCATGGTTTTACAAGATATATAGAGAAACATAGCCCTGTCACCCACTCAGTACATATTTTGTGCTTTAGTATACTGGTCATGTTTGTCTTCACAGAGACAAAGAAATGTATTCTATGGGTTACACTGTAGCACTATAAGGCATGAATTAAAATACATCATTAACATCCTGATCCAGCTTATCTTACTACCAAAACAAAGGAACTATTATTTGAGCAAATGGGAGAGGGAAGGAGCAAGCCCATCACAATAATGAAGAGCTCCTTGCCCTAAAAACTGTTCTGTTACAAGATCAACAATTATAAGCTTATATTCTACAGATTTGGATCCCAAATGACTGCATGAAGTGATGCATTCTCTAATGGGAGAGTAAGTACCATTGATGACTAGGCCTTGGGGCTTCTGCTGTTCTCAGACCAATCAATAATCCATTATGTCCAAACTACATTTCCACTCCAATATAAAAAAATAAAAGGGCAGCCAGTCTTAGCATTTAACCCATGGACTATAAAACAATAGTAACAAATAAAAACAAACACCACATAAGATACATGAAATCTCAAGACTGAAATAATTATTTACGTGTGTAATATTGAAAAAGCTATTTTCACCATATACTTTCTTCTCTAGAACCTTTTGTACATATACATAGTATACACACAGCACACAAATATGCACTCATAACTCTCTGATTAGATGAAATGCTACATTCATAATTAACCTCTTCAGAACAAAGGAAAAACACATCCCATCTTCAATAGATAAAATATAATGATCACATTCTTTGAAGTGCATTGTTTTTCTGAACAAGGAAAAAGCTTAATTTATTTTCATGTATCATGATTTTTATTACTATAAGTAAGGATGGAAATGGCCTGGGCCTTTTTTGGATTTACCAACCAGCCTGAGAAGGTTAAGAACAGAACATATGGAAATTTTATTAGGGATATTTTAATATATCATATATCTTAGAACGATGGTGAGATTGCTTGATATACTGACACTAAATCTGGCTGGAATACACATTTGGCTATATTTAGGAGAGACTCCTGGAAATTTATGGACTAAATATGGATACAACCAACTATAAATCTGGGATAAGGTAATGCTGAGCTTTAATAAAGTTTGAGGTATATTGTATGATTCACTCCAAACAGCTTAATTGAAATAGTTTTACGTTCAACAATTAATAACCCCATAAAAACAATACTCATCATTATTATTCATCTCTGGAACAACAAAGAACAACATATCAACCTGACTTTGCCTCAGAATTTTGCAAGGTGTAGTCATGTCACATCATGATGGCACTAGGTTTTAAAGACATATTAAAATAAACATGATATCTAACAGTAATGCACTCCACAAAACACCACTATAAAAATCTGTTACCTCCCAGTTGTATTTGCTATGGAATCTTAATGATTAACTGTAAAATTATACAGAGAGAAGCCTTCCTTAAATTTTACAAGCCTCAGATAATTAAAAATTAAAGCAATCTCTTTTAATTAAGCATATTAACTATTGACTACCAACACAGTGGCATCCTTATATCAGCAAGTGTACAATTCTGTTGAGATTTCCCAACCAATTTCAAAAACATCAACATGTACAGAAAAAAAAATGAGGATTCAATATGATGATCTTATTTCACTTGGTATTTGATTCTTTGTTGATAGTTCCTTGAGCAAGGGGTTGGACTAGAAGACCTCCAAGGTCCCTTCCAACTATATCAGTGTTTCTCAACCTTGGCAACTTGAAGATGTCTGGACTTCAACTCCCAGAATTCCCCAGCCAGCTTTCGCTGGCTGGGGAATTCTGAGAGTTGAAGTCCAGACATCTTCAAGTTGCCAAGGTTGAGAAACACTGAACTATATATTCTATTCTATTGTATTATACCCTACCCTACCCTATCCTACCCTATTCTATTCCCAAGTACAGGTTTGAATTTATAGAGAAATAATACAACCAAACCCTGGATTAAATTTTGATAGCTTTCTTAATAGCAATAAAGAAGTGACTTGCTATTGCATTATTCCAGAAATTCTTTCTCACTTTCCAGGCAAGCTAGTATTCTTGTAAGGCCTACAATCCAAGTGCTTAACACGGCTAATCTTGTTTAGCTTATTAGTGCCTCTTTGTACAAAAATATTTTAAAAATCAAATTAAAAGGGAAAATTTATTTTCAAGTAGAATTTGACTCCCTAGTTTATTCAGAATTTTGATAATGTGGATAGAGATTTCTTCAGTATAAATGGCAGAACACTAGAAATCTGATCCAATGCTAGTACCATGTTTCCCCGAAATTACGACATGTCCTGATAATAAGACCATGCCATATTTTTCCTGTGGGCTAAAATATACGCCCACCTCCAATAATAAATACCCTGGACAACTCCCCCTCCAGACAGGCAGAGCACCACTCACCAACCTAGTGATATACTGAAGGCGCAAAGCCGCAGAAGCTGGGGGAGGGGGGCAAAGGTGCTCACATTGCTTGACCCCTTTGGGATACTGCTAGGTTGGTGGGTGGCGCTGTGCCCAGCTGGAGTGGGGGGTTACCGGGCAACTGCTCTCACGAGCAGTCACCATCAACACCCCTTTCCAGTCGGGCAGAGCGCCACTCACCGACCCAGTAATATCCCAAAGGCGCTAAGCAGTGTGGCGCTCTGCCCAGCTGGAAAGAGAGGTTGCGCGAGCACTTGTTCTGCCTCCAGTTCGCGTGCCTCCCTGCCTCACCATGCCCAACTCTCCCTGAGGGCTGGACCAGGGCGGCACCACCACCGCCATCCCGCTGCCGCCGCTGCCACCATCATACTCCAGAGATCCGCTGCCGAGTCTTCCAGCAGCGGCCGCTCTGGGACTATGCTCTATGGTTGTGGGCTGGCTGTTGGAAGACTCTGGTACAGAGTTCTCCTGGCTGGGTCCAGCAGCTGGCCATGAGCAGCACCGGCAGGCAATGGTGTGTGCGCATGTGGCCGGTGCAAACAGGGCAGCAACACTCACAAGAGAGCAGCCACCCGGCAACCCCAAACCAATAAGCCCCCCCCCCAATAATAAGGACCAAGCGAAATGGGGGGTCAAAAGAAAATAAGACCCTGTCTTATTTTCAGGGAAACATGGTAAGAGGTGTTGTGATGTGATAAAAGAAATAATTATTTTCTCTTATCATTGAATCATACAATTCCATCCAATGGCTCTTCACTAAGTGGCCTGAGATCTACCAGTTTAATAAAATATAAATGAAGTTAAGGATCATTTTTCTGAGGCATATTGCAATTATGGCATTAAGTACAGCAAGGATAAAATTAGTTATATTTTAATGTAAGTATTAAGCCGATAAAATAATATGTATATCATAATCCATTTTATTAGAATATAAATATTTAGGGGAAGCTAAAATATATGCAAAACTAGACATCAGGTTCATCCATATCAATTCAAACTTCATATATCTAAGTTGTCATCAAAGAAATAAAGTGCAGACAGGTTATGAAAAACAGCCACAAGTTGATAAGAGTTCATGATATTTACATAGGTATATAATATTGGCCCCAAATATTAAATAAACCCACTGTGTAAAGATTATGACAATGATTATTTTTGCTTGGATGCATTATATATATTTTTATGTTTGTTTCAGTTTTGTTTTAGCACTGCTTTTTCAGCAACATTTGGAGCCACCAAATTCTATCCTGATGAAAAACATTTTAATTCACCTCTTAAATCAAACTGAATTCCTTTTCTATCTTAAGA